TTAGTCTCTGATGGAACCCCATCAAGTTCTTGCAGACCCAAGGGTTTCTCCAGTTTGAAAAGTCCTGGTGAAAGGTGAAGGAACAGATTGCAGCCGGTCAAACTAGAAGATACACTGCCCATTTCCCATTGTGCTTAAACCATTCTAGCACATTCAGAATGCCATGTTGTTCATTATTGCAGAATGACTTTCTTCAGCGGCGTTTTTAATGTTCTTCTTCTAAACTGGTTCCAGTTTCTTCTTTTTGGCCTTGTATATACTCTACAAATAAAAAATCTCACAACCAATCTGAATGACAGAAAGCAAGAACTTGGTCACGCCCTGGAGCCTTATTGATCAGTCACTCTAATAATCTCCTCCTCTCCGCTCACACTTAAACAGGGCATTCCTAGTAACCAAAAACTGAATAGTTATCAATTCCAAATTATAGAATGGCTTACACAAACATTCACATTCACAGAGTTTTACTCCTCTGACACAGTCATCTGGAGGAATCAGTGATATTATATGAAACTTTAAGTCCTTCAAATGGCTTACTTAGGCTTGGCATTCATACAAGCTTTAAGCAAAGGGGGAAAAAGTGAAGTAGAAAAAAGCCACAATTATAATCATGATCACTTTATTAGATAGAGATCTATACTCAAGAAAATACATGAAATTACCATATTGACTCAGGACAAAGGAAATCTTAGATGTTTCAAAACTTCAGATGATGCATCAACTATTAAACTCATATTGCTGACCTACAAAGTAATTCCTTTCATAGGCGTGCTCCTGAGATCATGTTCCCATTGAATCTACCCATATCCACAATAATGCCTATGAACCTGGATCCCAACCAATTATCTCATTTTCCTCAGCTGGACACATCTGGAAGACAATGCAGTGCTGCTGTATAATTTCTGGATTTCGGCAATTTGTGCTTGCTTTTTCCTTCCTACTTGAGTTCTTTAAACAGTGTTTCCACAACTAAAACATTTTCCGTAAGGTTTGCTTGCCTGCATTGGCAATTGTCACTGTGAAATATTATCTTAGTTGCATGTTCTGGTTCAGGATGACTCACAGTGCATTCATTTCTCTAGAGCAGCTTTTCCTATCAAGAAATTAATAAGCAAGACTACCCCTTCACACACACCCCATAACAATAACAAAAAAAGACTGAACTTGCTTTGACTATTTCTTCCATACCAAAATAAAATCTAGTTTGTCAGAGTACACCAAACAGATTCCCTCTCCTTAATGCAATTATAACAAATGAGGTAGACATTTGGTTGCATTCTGATTTACAGCTGCTTCACCCCGGCTTCACTGGCAGGCTTCCCACTCTCGCAGCCTCCCACTTCCAAACAAACAAAACTTCTGCTCTGTACAATTTTATACTGAGGGCTCTTCTCTATGCCCTTACTTAAATAATATATTTGAAGCTAAACGTACTATCACAAGAAAGCCGTTTGCCTTTGCATCTTCCACAAAGATCTTGACGATGAGGTCTCTTGGGATCCACGTGGCGCAGTTTCACAGGACAGGTACATCTGGTCTGCTTGCAGCTCTGAAATTGAGACACAAAAGCAGTAACTGAAAATGAAAGTGGCCTGGATCTGTGCATACATGCCACAGGAACAAACGTCTGACAATGGAGAACACAGTTGGGATCACTTTTTCTGTATTTATACTGTTTGGTTGCGAGTGGGATGACTGATTGCATTTTATCGATACATCTACTCCAAGGAAATGGTAAATTTCCTGAATGATCAAGATCAGTGTTCCTAAACCTCAGTAATTTTAAGATGTCTGGATGTCAACTCCCAGAATTCCTTAGCATGCTGGCTGGAAAATTCTGGGAGTTGACATCCACAAATCTTGAAGTTGCGAGGTTGAGGAAAACTGATCTAGATGGTTGTCACAAAGCTCAAAACCCCTCCTTGCTCTCACATGGCCCAACAGGAGGGAAGCCTTTATATGAGTCATAGGATGTGGTGCTAGAATGGACAAACCAAGTAGTCATGTGTGTGAAGTTATATGAATGCTCAGTTATGTGAATGGTCCCTATGTTTAAGAATTCCTGCAAAGAGAGGAAGCCTGTCTCACACAAGCACAAAGGGAGGGGTGGCTCCACTGCAGCCTAGCTTTGCTGCTTTGTGTGGGAGGGGCTTGGAGCCCACCTTTTTTCCTGTTTCCCTCATTTTCCTTCACCTCCCCTCATGGCTCTCCACGAAGTAGGAACGAATCCTCTCTCCTCCTCATGGGTTTTGTATTAACATTTAACAACCCCAGCAAAGAGTTATGGGCCCAGCGTATGAGCCCAGGAGGTTTCTTTGGTCTTACAGCTAAGAAACTGCTTGCATATTT